ACAGGAGTTGATCGACTCTCAGAAAATGTAATGAAATAAAAAAAATAAACTAAACAAAACTGCTAAATAACCTGACTCCACAAAAATCACAGGGACGGATACACCTTAAAGTATGGAACTGGGGCCAAGACTGGCCTATGACACACTCGTAACTCCTATGTGTCATCTTGGAAAGTTGGGCAAGGCGTGCCTCAGGAGTCTGGCCTCCAACCTCAAACACACGCACTCTTTTTTATACACATTTAAAATGCCTCAATCATATGACTTATTGTATTATAATATTGTGTTATTGTCTTATTTCCAAGACATTCCCAGCAGTAGGATGCATTTATTCATAAAAATATTCATCCCTTTCCAAGTAGAATGAGATGATCATGTGTAAGTGCAAATGGCAAGCTCAATGGTGGCCAAATTTTTCACCTACCCTTCTTGTTATGTTCATTCAAATAAGGCTAAACATTGTATCTGATTATCTTCTTACCTTGAGATGGTTTCTGGGTTTAGCGTCCCCGCGGCCCGGTCCTCGACCAGGTCTCCTCGTTGCTGGACTTGTCAACCAGGCTGTTGGATGCGGCTGCTCGCAGCCTGATGTATGAGTCACAGCTTGGTTGATCAGGTATCCTTTGGAGGTGTTTGTCAAGTTCTCTTGAACACTGTGAGGGGTCTGCCAGTTATACCCCTTATGTGTAGTGGAAGCGTGTTGAACAGTCTCGGGCCTCTGATGTTGATAGAGTTCTCTCTCAGAGTACCTGTTGCACCTCTGCTTTTCAACGGGGGTATTCTGCACATCCTGCCATGTCTTCTGGTCTCATGTGATGTTATTTCTGTGTGCAGGTTTGGGACCAGCCCCTCAATTATTTTCCACGTGTAAATTATTATGTATCTCTCCCGTCTGCGCTCAAGGGAGTACAGATTTAGGCTCTTTAGTCGGTCCCAGTAATTTAGATGTTTTACTGAGTGGATTCTAGCAGTAAAGGATCTCTGCACGCTCTCCAGGTCAGCAATTTCTCCAGCTTTGAAAGGGGCTGTCATTGTGCAGCAGTACTCCACTCTAGAGAGCACAAGCGTTTTGAAAAGTATCATCGGTATAGCATTGGTTCAGTCACACTGAACTAATGGACGATGTGTGGTGAAGAATATGTATTTAAATATATCTGAATGTAGGAGGAGAGGAAGGCTATGATGATAGGCACACACAGCAAGCATGTGAGGAAGTAGAGATCGAGATGGAACAAAGCACACCGTGTAGTAAGCTGCATAGCCATTATGCAACAGCCCATCCTCCTGTTTTGGTAGTATGTACTTATATTAACGATGAGGATCATAATATATATACCGACGTACAACGAAATTGTAACGTAGAAATCTGAACTATTGAGTTAGACAAACCGGAAAACTATTCTTTCTTGTGTTGCTTTGACAAACCTATCTAACCTAACCTATCCTAAACTAACCTAACCTAAACTAACCTATCTTAACCTCCCGAGGCCTAATACACAATATCTGAGGCCTAATATAGTACAAGTGTGTGCTACTAAAGGCCTAGGAGTATTTAAGTTTGTGTTTTAGCTTTATTTATTTTAAAAGAATGCCTTACTAGTCAGAATACAACTATCTAAAAGCTAAGAACATACGAATTCTGACTATTGACGATCGTCACTATAGATACTATCTAAACAGTTTGATGGGTTGTGATGCAATCGGTAAATACCTAAGTGTAGTTACAGGATGAGAGCTACGCTCCCGTCTTCCCAGCACTTTTCGAAGTGTGTTTTGTTTGTATATAACTCAGGAGCACTGTATACACCTAGTCTTGCAAAACAGTAGTGATGCAGATGATTTACTGGTGTGTGTTGGTGCTGGTTGTCCATCAAGCAATGTTACATGTAAGATATAGAATGCTGAGTGAATGGATAGAATTTTTTAATATAACGAATGCTCACTTTTTTGTCTCTAGACTGACATGTACTCATGCTATTCAAGTGGGAAACAAGGTAATAAGGATGACATACAGTACTGTATAAAATAAGATACTCTCTATACGTGTATCACATAAACCTCCTATTCCTAATTTATGTGGAAATCACAGGATGCCAGTGAACATACAGTGAACACATACAGGATTTAAATTTAAAGTCCCCAAGTATCAAAAGCTAGAAGGTGGTACCAAATAGCCAAATCTTACTCTCATAATGAGCATGATAATAGGCACTGACAACTGATCAAATTAGGAGTTTTACATTGGTCAGAATAAGAACACAAAATAAAATACCATCACTTACTTCCAATTCACGTCTAAGTTTTTCTGCTCTCCGTAGATCTTGTCTCAAAGTGTCAATTTTTTGCATTGCTGTCTCAAGTTCCTCCTCCTTATCCCGAACTTGTCGGGAAAATTTTTGCTTTTGATTTCTTAATTCTGTTAATCTAAAAAAAAAAAAAAAAGTTCATTTAATTAATTTTAATACAGATAAAAACAAAAACAAAATACATGCTATGCAATATTCTCCAATTTATTGTTATTCATTAATGATAAATTATAGCAATAACTTAAATGACTTACTTATCTGAAACTTCACTGTATTCCGACATTGCCAACTTTCTTTGGGTTAGTGCATCTTGTAATTCTTTTGTTTGTAATGTCAATTTTTCTTGTAGATCTGCAATTTCCTGAAAAACAGTAGCTTAATATTAAAATAAAATTTAGGATATTTAAATACAGTCAGCCCTCATTCTGTGAAAGACAAGTATTCCAGGAAAACCTTGGACAAAGTGATTTTGTACCGAGCGAAGTTAACTGTACATAGGGAAATCTTAAATACCCCAGAAATTCCGAAAGGCCCATTCATTTGTCAATAAAACACTAACCTCAACGTCATTGCTAAATACTCCCACCACTTTCTTGCCATAAATACAGTACCTAAAGTACTGTAAAATGCTTTAGAAATGTCATCCAAAAAGGGAGTAAAATGGCATCCAAAAAGGGAGTAAAATGCAAGATAATTGTAGGATGTCTTGAAGTTAAAGCACAGCACCCGGAAAGACCCCAAACTTTTAAGGCAAGAATGACCCAACAGGGAAGGAGTCAGAATCTACTGAGTAACTATCCAGAAAGAGGCATTTCCTTACATTAAATACTATATTTCCAGGCTGGTTTCCTCGGTAGCTAACATGGGAAAAGAAGGCCCAAGAGAAGAGCTTGGTAAAAAGGTGCATCAGCATCAAATCAAAGACACAAAACATTCAAGTAAAGCACACCACCAAAAATCGAGAGCCCTAAAATTTGCCATGGGTATTAGAAAAGAAGGATACCACTGTAGCAAACTGACACACATTATGAGTAAATAGATAAATGTCACATTGACTTAAACGAGCAACCCGTTGCATGCCCTGTGAAAGCCGATCTTGCAAAAGGGTGCCATTTAGTTTGTAAATACTGGATTGCAGAAATGTGGCGACTGGATAGTATGATGAACTAAGCATCTTACAAGTCTTACTTGTGACTTCTCACAAGTCAAGCCTGGCCTCGGGCCGGGCTTGAGAGTAGGAGAACTCCCAGAACCCCATCAAGCACGTATCAAGCAGGTAAGCATCAATGACTAAAGGACCACTCTTGAAGAAACAAGATTAAGTTAAAATCAATGGAGAAGGCTGAAATGGAGACAATGATAATAACCTTGGCCAATTAACCAGAAACCCTTCTTTTGGTTAAAAGCATAATGCTCACTAATGCAGCTCCCAGAAACCAGGCCCAACAAAAAAGCCACCCTGAAAAAGGAATACTCAAAAGGAGAAACCTAAAAATAAGGAAACTCCAAAACTTTATTAAATAACCAAGTAGGCTCTGGAGCATTCCTAGGGATGGAAAAATGCCCTAGTAACTTAATAGAGAGATAGGGGGGGAAAAGAAACTTCTACTCCCAAAGGCAAGTAAAAGAGAATCCACCAAAGCCGAGTAATATAAGGTAAAAGTTTTGTACTTTTACCTGTCCATCAACATGCCTCATTAATGAAATCCCAATGACTACCCAGAATAAGACTAAAGAACCTAGGAGTTTGGTAACAGTAATTGATAGCCAAGACTCTCTACACAGTGCTCTGATACAATAGTTCCATGTCAAAATGTTTGATACACTACAAAAGCCACGAGGGAATGAAATGCACCTTGTATGGAGCCATGACTACCAATATGTACCATGTGTGGTCGCCTCACACACACGGTGCATATCAAATTTCCACCCACAATGTGTGTGCAGAATGAGAGTTGTATCATAATAATACATACAAAGGTTGAGAAAGATAAGGTTGTATAACATAAGATTGAGTGAATAAAATGTTGCAGCAAATTGATTTCTGTGAAATATCGTATACTGCTAAAACCCGTTATCGAATAACACTAGTCAAGACAAACAAAAAAATATATATATAAATATCTAAGGCACAAAAATTCCTTGAATATTAACTGAATAATGCAAAACAAGGTATGATTATAACAATTGTTTAACTTACTCTATTTGCATTCTCCTTGTCCTGCATTGCTGCCTTCATCTGGCGGTCCATTTCCTTAAGCTTTACCTCTGCTTCACTCATTCCATCTGTTGCTCGTCTCTTTAAGCTAGACACTTCATAAGATAATTCTGTCAAAAACAAAGGCAATTCATAAACAAGTTAATTTTAATTTCAAAATTATACAAATTAAAATATTATTTACATTAGTTAGCACCACATAACGAAGTGATGGAACCGTAAGAGATCAGAATTCTGGATATAATGGGAGGAACATTATCTAGTTCATTGGTGCAGATAACTTATCCATCAGAACAGGCCAGCCAGGTTCTAGCAGATTTGTAATAAGATACCGCCTATACACAAAATTGAACAATAAAAAACCAGCGTTGAATGTAATGAAATGCCATTTTCTGGGTGAAACCCGGAGACTTCCCAGAGCTATCTAGGTTGATTTGGAGTATTAGCTTCGGGCATCAATGTACGTGGAGTTCTAGCCTTACCGGGGACCTCGCGCCAGAACCTGGCCCCCTCAGAGAGGCGTCAGGAGCAATGGCCTATAGACACACCCTATATATAATTTAGAAGTACTCAGTGTCTGCCATTAACCGGGTCGGGCACCCAGAAAGATAGGCACACCAAAATATCCCCCATTCTGGTCAAGAATTGCTACCAAAACTGAACGAGTGGATAGAACTCCCCATGAAGAAAAACGAGCAAGACATCATTTCGTTACCAATGCGCCATCGTCTGAGCAACCCACCCCTCCCCGGGAGGGAGAAGGGGGAGCCCCAGACCCTCCACCGGCGACCCAAGTCGGAGGGAGGGAGGTATGCCAGGGAGCCTCTGGGTCTCACCCAGAAAATGTCGTTTCATTACATTCAACACTGGATTTCTGGGGGGAGCCCCTTCGGCTCCCCAGGGCTAACTACCCAAAGACAAGGATAAAAGTGGGACAAACCTGGGAGGCGGAAACCCAAATGCAAAACAACTGGCAACACCAAATGACCCCGCAGACGACCCAAGAAACCCGAACCCCAGAACAGGGACGAAGGGAACCCAGCCAACGCAAAACACGTCCAGGGTCACAGAGGCCGCAGCACACACAAACAAGGGGACACAGGTAGAAACTTAGTACCCAGATGAGCCACAGAGACATTAGAAAGAATTTTTTCAGTGTCAGTAGTTAATAAATGGAATGCATTAGGCAGTGATGTGGTGGAGGCTGACTCCATACACAGTTTCAAATGTAGATATGATAGAGCCTAGTAGGCTCAGGAATCTGTACACCAGTTGATTGACAGTTGAGAGGCGGGACCAAAGAGACAAAGCTCAACCCCCGCAAGCACAATTAGGTGAGTACAATTAGGTGAGTACACAGGCAATGGCAAGCAGCCACAACCGGACACAAGAAGATACACCCCTGGCCAAACCAAACAAGCAACAACAATCCCAGGGACCCCTCTGGAAAACAAACTTGAACCTAAGGAGCCACAAGAAACCGAGGGGAAAGAAGAGCGTCTCCAGGCCAAGACCAGGACGGCTCAGGCGGTGCCTGAGCCGGCCAGAGGTAAAAACGCCTGAGACAGCTTGTGAAATGGTGCAGAAGAAACATCAAAACCAGAAGCAAGCTATAGCAGCTCCGCCAGCGCCGCACGAGGCACATCGAAGCACCCAGGTGGGACTCTCAACAAAACCACCTGACCACCAAACAGATACCTTGAGGTGCTTCCGGGGCTTAGTGTCCCCGCGGCCCGGTCGTCGACCAGGCCTCCTGGTTGCTGGATCCAGGCCTGGTTGCAGATGGTGACAGACTCAAGTCAAAAAGAACCAAACGCAAAGACTTGAAGAGAATACCGAACCAGCCACGTAATGGACTGGACCGAGCATCGGAAAGTGGACACCGAGCAAGCAGTGCCTGAACCAAGACTGTCAGGGAACCAGATGGAACCTCCGCTAGGTCACCAGGAATCCAAACCAGGCGAGTGGAGAGAGAACCAAATCCCTGGCAAGAAGAACCCCCCCCCCCCCCGAGGACCGCTGAAGAACCAACAAGGCCGACATGGCCGACAACTAGAAGCTGCTGCTAGCAGAAACTGCCCAAATGCATACTCCGCAAACAGCTAGGATAACTGGCAACAAAAAAAAAAAAAACGATGAGCAAGAGCCCAGGCAGAAGCCAACAAGGAAATGAGCACCACTAGCCGACAAGTGAAACATGAATCAAAATTTTGCGAAACTGCATCCGGCAGAAATGACGGAAACAGCTCCAGCAGTGCAGACGACACATGCACCGCCGATGTATGGAGAAGGAGAACACCAGAGGACATGTACTGCACTAAAATACAAAGATGCAGTACGTAATATAAATACAAATAAAAATCCGCAGCCAGGAATGCAAACCATGGCTCCACTCGTCCTAATGACAATGAACCATTGGGGGCAGGAATAGATAATATGAGAACCACCTCTTTCGGCATAAGGACCGTCATCTTATGCCGAATACTGTTGCCTCTTATCAGGAGGCGTTGGCATAGCTGCTGCAGCTTGCTTTCGTTATTGATGTTACTTCTGCACCGTTTCGCAAGCTGTCTCGGGTATTGTTTCACCTCCGGCCTGCTCGTGCGCTGCCTGAGCCATCCTGGTCTTCGGACAGAGTGCTTTCTTATTTGTCTTCTCGGTTTGTTGTGGCCCCTTCAGTTCAGGATTGTTTTCTAAGGCTCTTTTTCTTGTTGGCATTGGCCTCTGGGGGTAGGGTTGAGGAGCTTCATGCTTTCCTCCGGCGCAGGGGTTTCTGCTCTTTTGGTCGAGGAGATGAGTTCGTTTGTTTACAGACGTCTCTTCCTTTTCTGGCAAAGAATGAGACTGCTGTTTTCCGGAGGGATCCTTGGGTTATTGATGCTTGGTTGGTCAGGCCGGGGGTGCATCATGTGTTGTGTCCAGTTGCGGCTCTCCGCCGGTTTTTGCACGCCACGGCCTCTGTGACCGGGGACACGCTTTGGGTTGATCCAGTTTCCCTTCTTCGCTGTTCTAGGGTTTGGGTCTCTCGGGTCGTCCGCAGGGTTATTCGGTCTAGCCAGCTTGTGGTCTATCCCCGTGCCCATGACGTTCGTAAGTTTGCTGTGTTGGCTGCCATCTCCTGATAACACATCCTGAGCTGACAATCAAGCACGGGGTTTTTGGCGGTCGCACAGGATTTATTTAGAGGACTCCATGGGCTTGAGTCCATAAGAGGCAGACTGCTTCACCCAGTAAATAATAAGGAGGTCTAAACTGTAATTTTCAATGTTGGGAAACTGCATCTATTATTTATTATATCTTACCCTGTCAGACCATACGTGAACTCTTTAATAAGAGGACCACTACAAAATTATTCTCTATACTTTTACTGTATTACTATACAACTATATTATTATGTTGTTGAATATGACCGAAAGGGTAAGATTAATGATTCTAACACGAATCTTCTTAATAGTTCTTACGTTTTTCTTCAAGAAATATTGAGAAGTAAAGTTGTTTACTTTAAAAATAGAGAGAAGATTCGTGTTAGAATCATTAATCTTACCCTTTCGGTCATATTCAACAACATATGTTTACAAAAAGACTGCTACCAAAATATACTAATCTATATTAATACTAGACTTTTATATACGAATATTACTATACTGTACTTTGATTACAATTGCTTTATAAAAAAAACCACATTAAGAACACAAAGCTTACAAACCTTGATTTTGCTTGTTGAGAACCTGCACCTGGTCTACTAATTTTTTTAATTCTTCAGAAGTTGAACCTGTACTTCCATCTATTCTATCTGTTAACTTCACTAATTCTCTGTTTTCCGACTCAAGACATTTAATACGTCTCTCGTAGGATATCACATCTGACGGGGGCCCAACATGCACTGATGCGGTGAGTGACACGGTCATTAAACATCCCTTGTCACCGATTTGGCTGAAAATAAAATAATAAAATGCTAACAAATTTTGATACAGGAAAACTTACTACCAAACGGAATAACTCATTTCACAATTTGCAGTATCAACATACTGTATATACCATTACTCAAAACTAAATTTTCAAACAATTTTACAAGTTAAATCATTTTAAACTATTTCAGCTATAAATAATCAAAACATAGTGTTGCCATACTCTTAAATATACTGAAGTCATGATGATGATGTACACTTCCTTAGTACTTCCACACTCATCAAACATGCTCACTCAATCATTCAACTTCAAATATGTACTTCCTCGAGTGTAAACTTAATGGTCTTCATGAATGTACACAAAACCAAAGCATTCTTAAGTCCAAATTCCTTTACATCCCCCATGTAAATATGTAATTATGTCTCTCCCTTCATATGTTAACCACCAGATGAACAAAACCACAATGGCCGTGACGAGGATTCGAACCTACGTCCGGGAGCATCCCAGACGCTGCCTTTATCGACTGAACTACGACATGATCAAAAAAAAGAGTTGAAACCGAAGTTCTACTGAACTTATTGGATCCTGCAGCCTCTCTGAGGCACAAACCTCGGTGTGTAATGAAGTAAGGGCGAAGAGGGAGAATGGCTTATTGACATAGCTCGAGTGCATGGGAGAGTTGTGTAAAACCCTGGTTTGGGCCTCGGAGAGGCTGCAGGATCCAGTAAGTTTAGTAGAACTTCGGTTTCAACTCTCTTTGACCATGTCATAGCTCAGCCAATTAAGGCAGCATCTGGGATGCTCTCGGACGTAGGTTCGAATCCTCGTCACGGCCCTTGTGGATCTGTTCATTTGATTCATCACGCCATTGTGATTTCTGTGTGTAATGTTAACCTCCACCTTATATTTTTGCTACACAATAATAAATGAAGCTAATAACCTAACAATACAATGCAATTAAAATACCTTGCTACAACTTTCTAGATATTCAATATAATAATGATCATTCATGCTCTAACAATTCTTTACTAGAAATTCAGTCATTCAAATCTTGCCCCAACAACTACTGCATAATATAATACATTCATCAACTACAATATATTACTAGGTCGATGATTATTTTTATATTAATAGGTGGTCAGCATTATAATGAAAGCAGTAAATAAACCCATGATTTATAATGTTTCCCTTTTAGTTGTATTAATTATTTCACAAAATAATAAAACTTAAATAACACACTAAATTGTACTAATAAGCTAAGACCATACTTCCACCTATACCCTTTCTACTCCACAAAATTACTATAGTGCCATAGTGCTTCAATGAAGGTGAAGGAAAAGCCCAATTTATGCTTAAGCGCATTCAAAACCAAAATTTTGGATTTAACCTCCATCCTTTCTCAAGGTACAACATCATTGATATTGTATACGTACCTTGATGTAATCATTTCTTATTTTATCAGATGTTATGTATGATGTGTACATTTTAATTACTGTTTCCTATTTCCATGGGCTGTTAATTAGAGGGCTTTGGGCAAAGCCTCATCAGCTGACAAAGCATATTAAAAACTAAATATCAGGAACTTTAAGTGTAATAGTAAAATTAAAAAATTTTGCTAAAAAATTAAAAGGATACCAATTTTTATTAGATTTGTCTAAAACAATTATGAATTACATATACAGTATATATTGTATTTTACATTTAATACACAAATTATATTTACGAATTAAAGGAAAGACAAGCGTTTACCCTACATCAGTATTAACACTATGTACCAGTGAAGAGAGAAATGTTTGACTGAATTAACAATTAAAGTTTGATAAAATCTAAATGATTAAAACAGTTTGATAAAAACTTTCTTATACACTCATGCTTACCTTCCCTGAGTAAATGAAAAGCCCACAAAAGGTAAATGTAGAGCACTGAAGGCAGCATTTGCAGGTGGAGGGCAGGCATCCTGGCTGCGTGCTTCTGAATCGTCAACATCAAAATTACTTGTATCGGTTGGACTGGAAACTTCGGGAATATATGGAGCCGTGCTGTCTCTTAGCGTCTCCCAATCTACACCAGCAAACCATGGATGATTCTACCAAAGTTAAGATATCCATGAGCTTAATCAAATCACACTTTAAATTTGGTATGTAATAAATATCTGATTAACAGGTGCCACTTATTAGCTTGTACACAAATTTCCCTCCATTTAATATATTTAATAAATACTACTGTTTGCTGAAAAAATGTAATACTGTATCTTTATGTAAACTTGGCATTCTCCCTTAACTTAACCCCTCAATGCCATAGGCACACTGTCTGAATATCAGAGGTCCACAGCTGTTCAATGCTCTCCCAGCAAGCATTAGAAATATTGCTGGAACAAAGATGAACTTCTTTAAGAACAAATTAGACAAGTTCTTGCAAGAAGCACTGGATCAACCAAGCTGTAGTGGATATGTGGGCCTGTGGGCAGCTGCAAGCAACAGCCTGTTGGACCAAATTATCACAAGTCAAGCCTGGCCTCAGGTCGGGCTCAGGGAGTAGACCTCCCAAGACCCTCTCCAGGCAAACTTCCTATACTGTATGACCTACAGGGACTGTGTTTAAAGACACCAAGTGTATTTCTAGACATAGTACTATAATTTACTTTTATATCAATGTTTCTATAATAGATACAATACCTATCAAATATATACAGAAATTAATAATGAAATATACTGTAGTATTAAATTATAACACTTACTTACCTTAAAGTCACTAATGCCATTTTTGCCTAATCTGTATTCTGACGCACATATAAGTTGTCTCATAAGTTCTTTCGCTTCTTCGCTTACATCATAGCCTAGGTCAGTTGGAAAATCAAAACAATTCTGGAAATAATTCAAAGTCTTCAATTAATAATTAAAGATCAACAGTAATTAGCTAACTAAATTTTGTATGCTGGAAAAAAATATTCATTACAGGTGCACCTCACTCAAACTACAGTAATTGGAACAAACTGTTACAGGTGCACCTCACTCAAACTACAGTAATTGGAACAAACTGTTACAGGTGCACCTCACTCACACTACAGTAATTGGAACAAACTGTTACAGGTGCACCTCATTCACACTACAGTAATTGGAACAAACTGTCCCATTCTACCAATGATTACAGTCTACCAAAACTTTTGCCAAGATTTGCTATTAAAAAAAAGTGATCCTTGGTAGACTGAAAAGAATTGGCTAATGGACAACATCTTAATGAGCCAGCATATGCTTTTTGCTTCAAGCTGTCTTGATAGACCAGTCCAACTTGGCTGAAAAAATACTCGTATTTCTTTTTTTTTTCTCTTTTTTAAGCGGGATAATAATCTGTAGTTACTATTCCTCTTTCCTAAACAGTGACAGTTTCGGCGACTTCTGTGGTGGTTATATTCTACTGTAACTAGTGTGGTGACTGTGGGACACTACATCTTGGTACTCAATAATTTTATCCATTTTTCTTGGGTTATTTCATTATCTGTGAGTCAAAAATATGTCTACTGTACCAGGAAGGGAAAGAAGAGTAATCTATCATGGAAGAAAAACTGCAAATAACTGAGAAAAGTGAGCAAGCCTGATAAGTGCCAAATGAGAAAGAGGACTGGTTGCAACCGCTCACTATTAAATATGTTCAAGATTTCAAGGTACTGTATAGATAGTTTGACAAGACTGCTTATAACTTTGTTTGCAGTCTAGTGTGCATGCAGTGATGATGGGATATTTTGTTTCATTTTCTTTTTTGTACTGCATACAATACTATTGCATTGTATACCTAAATACTACTATAAAAATTAACAAGAATGTTGAAGTTCATTTCATCCAAATGTACCCTTTAACATGTGCCAGACCCAATAAAACTATAAAATGAACTTCGTAATAAATTTTTCAACTTCCTTCCCAAGTGAAAAAGAACATATGAAATGCAGTGAAGACGAGCTTCACTGATTAAACCCCTTCGACCATATTCAAACAACATACAGTACCACATTCGACCATAACACATTTTATCAATATACCTGTATGCACAAAGATGTGTTCTACCCTTTGCAATCGGACAAAAAAAATTATTGCCAATAGTGATAAATGGCAAAACTTACTGAGAGGACCAGAATCTTAAAGAAAAAAAAAATCTGGTCTCTCACTTCATTCAAGTAAGGTGTCACTATTATATTTCTTTGTTCTAGCGTGCCGAACATTTCTTGTTCTAGCGTGCCGAACATTTCTTGTTCTAGCGTGCCGAACATTTCTTGTTCTAGCGTGCCGAACATTTCTTGTTCTAGCGTGCCGAACATTTCTTGTTCTAGCGTGCCGAACATTTCTTGTTCTAGCGTGCCGAACATTTCTTGTTCTAGCGTGCCGAACATTTCTTGTTCTAGCGTGCCGAACATTTCTTGTTCTAGCGTGCCGAACATTTCTTGTTCTAGCGTGCCGAACATTTCTTGTTCTAGCGTGCCGAACATTTCTTGTTCTAGCGTGCCGAACATTTCTTGTTCTAGCGTGCCGAACATTTCTTGTTCTAGCGTGCCGAACATTTCTTGTTCTAGCGTGCCGAACATTTCTTGTTCTAGCGTGCCGAACATTTCTTGTTCTAGCGTGACGAACATTTCTTGTTCTAGCGTGACGAACATTTCTTGTTCTAGCGTGACGAACATTTCTTGTTCTAGCGTGACGAACATTTCTTGTTCTAGCGTGACGAACATTTCTTGTTCTAGCGTGACGAACATTTCTTGTTCTAGCGTGACGAACATTTCTTGTTCTAGCGTGACGAACATTTCTTGTTCTAGCGTGACGAACATTTCTTGTTCTAGCGTGCCGAACATTTCTTGTTCTAGCGTGCCGAACATTTCTTGTTCTAGCGTGCCGAACATTTCTTGTTCTAGCGTGCCGAACATTTCTTGTTCTAGCGTGCCGAACATTTCTTGTTCTAGCGTGACGAACATTTCTTGTTCTAGCGTGCAGAACATTTCTTGTTCTATCGTGCAGAACATTTCTTGTTCTAGCGTGCAGAACATTTCTTGTTCTATCGTGCAGAACATTTCTTGTTCTAGCGTGCAGAACATGTCTTGTTCTAGCGTGCAGAACATGTCTTGTTCTAGCGTGCAGAACATTTCTTGTTCTAGCGTGCAGAACATTTCTTGTTCTAGCGTGCAGAACATTTCTTGTTCTAGCATGCAGAACATTACTTTCCGCAGTACACTTACACACACATATTGGGACTCCTTCACCTTCACTCAAGCACTACATCATTGAACTAAGTTCCTCCACTGTATTTTTAATAAGGCACAGCAAATGAAATAAACCCGAAAAAAGACAAATGGAGACACACTAAATGCCAAACGAATAACGAACTAAATAAATGAATAACAAACTGAAAATAATTAACTGAAAATAATAACGAACTGAAAATAATTACGAACTGAAAATAATGACATTAAAAATAACAACAAACTGAAAATAATAACAAACTGAAAATAATGACAAACTGAAAGAGTTCTTCATATTACCTGTAATAAATATTTCAAAGAATGGTGATGACCATGATGAAATAAAGAAGCTATAATGAAATATACTGTACATACATTAAACACAAGCCCAAAGTGGGAACAATGAAAGTATAACAAATACAAAATAAGCAAGCGTCCCATGTAAATTTATTACAAATACACATGGTGAATGTGATTAATGATTAGATTTCATGTTGGAAACAATAAATATGGGTAATTTTTCTCCTTTTTACATCACAATATAATAAAACTGACCTTATGATTCATTATTTTTCCATACGTTTCCACCAACGACTCTGCATAGAAGGGAGTTTCTCCAAACAGCATTTCGTACATACACACCCCCAGCGACCACCAATCACACTCCCGGCCATACCGCCCCTGACCATCTTCCATAGCCTGAGGTGGCAGACAAGACAGTGACCAGTATGCTTGGCTGTACATGACCAAATAAGTAGTTTAAGTAGAAGGCAAACCTCCATTTGAGAAATATGCTTCCAAAGATTGTCAGTATAAAAAAACTAAAAATACAATACACTTTAAATGAAGTGTGATTTTAACCTGATAAAAAAAACTTACTCCTTTGTCAATACCTTTGCAGATAAAAAGCATATTGCAATGATGATGATAAAGTACACAGCAGTGAAGTTGCCATTCTGTGAATCAAATACTGTATGTACTTTCAAAATGAAGTGTGACACTAAGCTTAACCTTATTTATAATCAATTTCCAAAAAACTTGGACAGGTAGTATTAGTTACAACTAAAATTAGAATGTTAATTTTAACCATTCTCTAGCCAGTGGAATAGGTAGAGTAAAATGCATTATCATGCCTGCCACAGTGTGGGGGAAGAGACAGGTTTTGGTGTCTTGTAACATTTACATATTATTTTACACTTCCTTATCACAGTATCTAAGGGACGTGTGTTTTCTTGAGAAGGGGGGGATAACCCTCTTAATACTGCTATTAATCGGCATTCAACGTAATTGATTCTGTAAGATTTAATTGTAAATATCTATTTCACAAAACCACAAAAGACCAGAGTCAAATTTTAGAGCCTAGTTGGGTTTATAGTGCGCTATTTCACAATATTAGATTCTTGATTATGACTTCCCATTAACACTCTCGCATTCTAATGATGCCATGTCATTGACTTGCAAATCTTCTATGAAGATGAATGTTACATCACAATATGACACTGACAATTCAAATCACACACCTTATGAGAGGGTGGAGCTCGACAAGCCTTATGGAGAGTGGACCCCACACACTAGCAATGTGTGGAATTACAAACCATGTCATCTCCATTTTCTCATGTTTTTTTTTATTTTTGTTAATATATTTGGGAATTTTAGCATAAGAAAATGCAAACAAAGTCATTTATAAAGAACAGTACAGTTCTGTAGTACAGTGGCACCTCGACATACGATTGCCCCTACTTACGATAATTTCGAGTTACGATGTAAATTTCATCGAAAAATGCGACTCGACATCCGATGGTGTCGTCGATTTCCAATATTTGTTGGTACACGTTCGGGTCGACCGAGCGCGTGGTTCCCAGTCACGCGGCCGACCTGCCTCAGTTTACTACAGCTGCCCGCTTAGTGACGATTTCGCCTATAAGAAATTCCGCTTCTGTGATGATTTTTTGCATTTTGAACATTAAAGTAATTATTATATATCACGCCATGAGTCCCAGGAAAGTCAGTGGTAAGGCTCAACATATGAAAACCCATGTAAGGATGACCATAGAGCAGAAACAAGAGTACAGAATGTCTCTTCCTCAACAATTATGTGTGTGTGTGTCAGAGTAGTTAATAAATGGAATGCACTAGGAAGTGATGTGGTGGAGGCTGACACCATACACAGTTTCAAATGTAGATATGATAGAACCCAGTAGGCTCAGAAATCTGTACACCAGTTGATTGACAGTTGAGAGGCGGGACCAAAGAGCCAAAGCTCAACCCCCGCAAGCACAATTAGGTGAGTACACACACACACACACACACACACACACACACACACACACACACACACACACACACACACACACACACAAATTTCAAAATTCAAAAGGTGACACCCCTAGGGTCAACACTTGCATCAGAGGAGCTCCAGCATATTTCAACAATCCTAAGTATTGTAGTACAGGTTGATGATAGTGAGTGGTGTCCCAGAGAACATAAAGCTAAAGTGCTTTTGAAAAATAGGTGAGATAACAGGAATGTGCTAAGGGAAGTGAAAAATCGGATGAGAAAAAGTTGCCCTAGTGTTTCCAGTGCAGAAGAACATTCAAGATGGCCACCGGCAAGAGGAAAAACAAAACAGAGCTTGAATTTGTGGGATTCAATGAAGAAAGCATTGATAAAAGCAGTCTACACAACAAGTTGGTAAAATTAGATACTATAGTGAACTCTCATGTAGAAACAATAAGTAAATTGAAAGAAAGTAATGACCATTTGAAAAGCAAAGTTTTGTCTTGAGGGTTTAGTGAGAGACTTGAGCAAGGATAAGAATCAATTGGAAACAAATTGCAAAGCCATAAAAGACAAAAAAAAACTGAAGAAGAAGAAGAACTGAAGAAAAAAAACAGATGGAAGAAGTTAAACAGGGAATAGAACAGTGCAAGAAGGATATGCAACTCACCTATGCACAAGTGGCCAAGGAGAAGGAAAAAATTGAAGAAGCAGTAAAGGAAGCCAAACACTGCAGCAACCAAAGTAAAACAAACATTAGGCTGGAAGTGAGAAAGGAATTGGCATCTAATCCGAAGTTGGTGCAAAACACAGTTGATCGGACTAAGACCCTGATAATTTTTGGTTGCAAAGAAAAGGAGATAACATCTAGATCAGAAAGAGCTGTAGAAGAAGCGAAAGTAGTAGATAAAATTGTTGGCCTCGTGGAAGGTCTTACAACCATAGAGAACGTGTGCGACAACAGGAGAATAGGCAGATACGTAAAAAGGGAAGATCGACCTTTCAGGATAACCCTAAACTGTGCCAAACAGATGGAAGAAGTACTAAGGAATGCTAGAAAATTACAAAGTGACGAGGATGGGAAAGTGTGGTCATTAAGACGAGATCTTTCAAAAGAAGACAGAGAAGCTGAAACTGAACCTTGCCGAGGGAAAACGTTTAAAAGAGAGCAGGAATGAAGAAGAAATCAATTCTTTTTTCTACAAAGTGATAGGGGTAGGCAGACCAGTGAAATGGTACATAAAGGCAAACCAACAAAATCGTTAGAGGGGGAGTGAAGAATAAGGAGAGGGGGAACAAGTTCCTGAAGATTGCATACACCAACATAGATGGAGTGAGATCGAAGATACTGGAGTTAAGTGATGTAATACGGCTGCAGACACCAGACATTGTTGCACTCACGGAGACAAAACGTGAAGATGTTATTTTAAATGAGGTCATATTCCCAAGGGGCTACTCAATTTGGAGACGGGACAGAAAAATTAGGAAAGGCGGTGGCGTTGCTGTGCTGGTGAAAGAACACCTAAAGGTGAACGAAATAATGACTGCCAATCCACAAGAAGTTGACATAAGAGCACTAGAGATCTGCCATGAGGATGATAATCTAATGATCATAAATGCATATAGTCCACCGTCAAGCAGCACATGGTCAAAGGAGGAGCTAGATAGGAAACGCGAAGGTTAAACAACAATAATGAGAGAGATTATAGCGAGAGCGGATAACGATAGATCACGACTGTTGATAGTCGGCGACTTCAACTTGAAATCCATAGACTGGGAAGCATATGAAGCTAAAACAGAAGACTTTTGGACCTGTAAATTTGTAGATCTCATCCTGGAAACATTCTTGTATCAACATGTTAAACAAACTACAAGGATGAGGAAAGGAGACGTTCCCTCCATGCTAGATTTGATATTTACCAGGAAGGAGAGAGATATTTGAGATTCAGTACCTTCCTCCCTTGGGTAAAAGTGACCATGTCTTTTTGGGAATAAAGTATGCAATGAGTTATAATCTGGAAGAAAATAAGGAGGTTGAAGCAGTTGAAAAATCTGACTTCAGGAGAGTACATTATGGCGACCTTAGAACATTTTTTAACAAGTATAATTGGACAGACTTGTTGCTAGGGAAGGAAGTGAATGAGATGTATGTCAAGTTTTGTGAAATATATGTTAAAGGCACAAAAAATTTATACCAAAACAGAGATGCAGAACTAGGAAACAGGATTGGTTCAACAAAAATTGCGAGAGGGCCAGAGACCGAAAGACACAAAAATGGAATCAATACAGGAAGAGGCCAAACCCCCAAACATACCAGTAATACAAAGATGCGAGGAACAACTACACGACAGTGAGGAGAGAGGCAGAAAGAAATTTTGAAAAAGGGATTGCAGACAAATGTAAAACAGAACCAGATCTATTCTATAAATTCATAAACAACAAATTGCAGGTAAAGGTTAATATTCAGAGGTTGAAAATGGGAAATAGATTCATGGAAAATGAAAAGGAAATGTGTGAAACATTAAACGAAAAGTTCCAAAGTGTGTGTGTACAAAATGAAATCTTCAGGAAACCAGACACAATAAGAATTCCAGAGAACAACATAGAGCACATAGAGGTGTCTAGAGACGAAGTGGAAAAAATGCTCAAGGAGCTAAGTAAGAACAAAGCAGTTGGTCCAGATGGAGTTTCACCATGGGTTCCGAGAGAATGTGCACCTGAGCTCAGCATTCCACTTCAACTGATTTTCCAGGCATCCCTGTTTACAGGAGTTGTAGCTGATGTGTGGAAAAAGGCTAGCATAGTTCCAATCTACAAAAGTGGAAGCAGGGAAGACCCCCTTAATTATAGGCCTGTATCATTGACATGTGTAATAGTCAAAATATTGGAAAAAATAATTAAAACTAAATGGGTAGAACACCTGGAGAAAAACGATATAATATCAGACAGACAGTATAGTTTTCGATCTGGAAGATCCTGTGTAACGAACTTGCTCAGTTTTTATGATCGAGCCACAGAGATTTTACAGGAAAGAGATGGTTGGGTTGACTGCATCTATCTGGACCTAAAAAAGGCTTTCGACAGAGTTCCCCATAAGAGGTTGTTCTGGAAACTGGAACATATTGGAGGGGTGACAGGTAAGCTTCAAACATGGATGAAAAATTTCCTAACTGACAGAAAAATGAGTGCCGTAATCAAAGGAATGTCACGAGTGGAATACCACAGGGTTCAGTTCTTGCACTGGTAATGTTCATTGTCTACATTAACGATCTACCAGTGGGAATACAGAATTATATGAACATGTTTGCTGATGATGCTAAGATAATAAGGAAGATAAGAAACCTAGATAGAAAGGGATAGAAAGGGCTCCCTATCCGGCCAACCGGATAGGGAGCCGTTCGGCCGAGCGGACAGCACGCTGGACTTGTGATCCTGTGGTGCCGGGTTCGATCCCGGGCACCGGCAAAACACAATGGGCAGAGTTTCTTTCACCCTATGCCCCTGTTACCTAGCAGTAAAATAGGTACCTGGGTGTTAGTCAGCTGTCACAGGCTGCTTCCTGGGGGTGGAGGCCTGATCGAGGACCGGGCCGCGGGGACACTAAAGCCCCGAAATCCTCTCAAGATAACCTCAAGATAGATGATTGTCATGCCTTCAAGAAGACCTGGACAAAGTAACTATATGGAGCAACACTTGGTAAATGGAATTTAATGTGAATAAATGCCATGTTATGGAATGTGGAATTGGAGAACCACACAACCTATAAATTATGAGAGAAATCTTTAAAGAATTCTGACAAAGAAAGGGATCTAGGGGTGGTTCTAGATAGAAAACTGTCACATGAGGACGACATTAAGAACATTGTGCGAGGAGCCTATGCTACACTTTCTAACTTCAGAATTGCTTTTAAATACATGGATGGAGAAATACTAAAGAAATTGTTTACGACTTTTGTTGGACCAAAGCTGGAATATGCAGCGGTTGTATGGTGCCCATATCTTAAGAAGCACATCAACAAACTGGAAAAGGTGCAACAACATACCACTAAGTGGCTCCTGGAACTGAAGGACAAGAGCTACGAGGAGAGGTTAGAAGCATTAAATATGCAAAAACTAGTAGAAGAAAAAGTGGTGATATGATCACCTCTAATAGTAAAATAGTTCAAAATAGTAACAGGAATCGATAAAATTGACAGGGAAGAATTCCCGAGACCCAAAACTTCAAGAACAAGAGGTCATAGATTTAAACTAACGAAAGAAAGCTGCCGGAGAAATATAAGAAAATTCACTTTTGTAAACAGAGTGGTAGACAGTTGGAACAAGTTAGGTGAGAAAGTGGTGGAGGCCAAAACCGTCAGTAATTTCAAAGCGTTATATGACAAAGAGTGCTGGGAAGACGGGACACCACGAGCATAGCTCTCATCCTTTAACTACACTTAGGTAATTACACACACCCACCCACCCCACCTGTAAACGTATTAAAAAAAGGCTAAACAAACTCAAAATGTTAATTAACGTCTCAAGCTGGCTACATTCCTACTTTACAGGCCAAATTATACTTATCAATCATTATAAAACGTTAAAACGCCAGCCTGCTTTTCTCGATCATGTGAAAGAGAATTTTCAAACTTTACATGAAAATAGAAAAATAGCATATGACAATAAACAATTACAGTACACAGTATTTCAAATGTAAAAATGTCTGTATTCATGTATGGCACACTAAACACCTGCTTTACCCAAGGTTACGTCAAGGAGGTTGAGTATGCCGAGTACTGAACATAACTTTCATAAACTAGTTTTTCTTTTATTATATGATATATATAAACTATTTGTGAACATTTTAATGTAAAAAAAAAATGTTAAACAAAGAACATCTTAACCAAAAATAAAACCATTATAAACATTCATGATCCACCTCTTCCTGCTTGACCGGGGTTTACTTCGAGGCGTGACTTACCCGCAGGACCCCAGAACGCAAGAGTGTTAAGAAAAGCCAAGTTAAGCATTTGCTATTTGAGTTGACACCACAAGTAATAAGTGATGGTTTAAAAAAAAAAAAAAAACGTTTTTTTTTATAACAACTGAAGACTTTATGGTTAATTTTTGACGAGAATAATTCTCCGATACCGAGTACTAACAATATGCAGAGGGAAACTCTACACATTTAGTAAATAAGGCAGCCCATAATCCAAACCTTCCAGTTTGACTAAAATGGTTTGCAAACAATAAATGCATTCCAAATTATACAGTCTAGCATTCAGTAACAGACAAAATATTTGTTAGAACTGGGCATGACACATTTCCAAATACAGTAGCTCCTCTATATTAACTACAGTTTAAGCCAATGTTGGTTCCAGAACAAAGTTCCAGCCCTATTTTTTTGCCTTTGTCTGGTATAACTTTTCTGTGTATGAGCCAGTGAACAAAAAATAACAGTTAAGGTGTAAACGTTAAACTATGTTCACACATTGGTCTACATTCTGAACTGACTGCTGAATAAGGACCAAGCAAAGTATGAAAAAAATAGAGGAAATAAATCTGAAATATAATAAGAGTACATTGCTATGTAGTACAGAAGCAATGTATATGACTATGCACCAAAAGAGTAAGAGTATTACAAACAATGCTTTAGTCTCACTCAACACTGTCAGTGTCAAAACTCCATCCTCTAGTCTGTCTGTTATATTATCCTAAACCAGTATGTGTTGAAGCACAAAGCAGCTATGGGGTTGCTCAAGCCACTCAGCCTTTAAATACTATCCCAAATGGTCCAGTCATCACACGGACTTACAGTACAGTACATGAATCGTCAAGGAATGAACGACTGCTGTCAACAAACCTGTCCTTCTCCCATGGCCTATGGGAATGAATAGTCCTGTCAACATTTGCATCATGCAGCAATGTTTTATTTATCATGTGCCCTTAATAAATAGCCAACAAGTGAAATCCAATTCCATAAACAACAAAAATAATTACGCTCCTGATTATCCTGATTATTTCTCATACCTGAGAAATCTCTCACACTTACAAAAACAGTTCAACAGAAATGTATTTGTAAGCAGTTCTATAATTAAGTAAGATAGAAAATGACTTTAAAGGAAAAATAGATTGTTCAAGAGCATCAGTTATTCAATTACCTAAGCAAATAGAGTACAGAACAAAATTTTATGTTTCAAATCAAAACAAATATGGAGTACAATCCAGAACCTACCCTGAGGATTTCTGGAGATATATAATCGGGTGTTCCTACTGCCACATTACTCTGTACTGTTCCATCTTCCTGAAGCCGTAGACATGATCCAAAATCTGCCAGTCGTATATGGCCATTGGCATCAAGTAACACATTATCCGGTTTGATGTCTCGGTGGACATATTTTAACTGATGTATAGAATCTGAAATGGAATACAAACACTTTAAATAACAACACACATACATACAGTGAGATGGTCAGAGAGGAAAATACTGTACATGAAAATGGGCTCAATATAGGAAGAGGCCTAACCCCACAAACATACCAGCACTACAAGCAAGCAAGAAACAATTACACAACAGTGAGGAGAGAGGCAGAAAGGAACTTTGAGAAAGGTAAAGCGGACAAATGTAACACATATCCAGGTCTTTTCTATAAATTCATTAAAAGCAAGCTGCATGTAAAGGATAAAATCCAGAGATTGAGACCGGAAAACAGGACTATTGGGAAAGAAAATGCAATGTGTGAAATGTTAAATGAACAGTTCCAAAGTGTGTTTGTATAAAATGAGGATTACAAAGACCCAGACCCCAATACCAATTCCAGAGCATGCCACAGAATACATAGAGGTATCTCAAAATGAAGTGGAAAAATTACTCAAGGGGGCTAGGAAGAAATAAAGCAGTTGGACCTGGAGTTTCACCTTGGGTGCTGCGAGAATGTGCAACTGAGCTGAGCAGTCCACTCCAATTAATATTCCAGACATTCTTGTGCACAGGAATTTTAGCAGATATTTGGAAAAAGGCAAACAGTACCAATCTATAAAAATGGTAGTCGAGAGATACCTCTAAATTATAGACCCGTATCACTAACAAGCGTGGTAGTCAAAGCACTAGAAACAATGGGTAAAGCCAAATGGGTTGAACACCTATCGTACCAATCTACACCAATATATAGTAATCCTAATATATACCAATATACAGTACGGTAATACCAATATATACCAATATATAAATACCAATACTAGTATACAGTAATATGAATATACAGTAATACTGTTCCACTACATAGTAATACCAATATATACCAATATATAGTACCAATATATAGTACCAATCTATAAAAATGGTAGTCGAGAGGAACATCTAAATTATAGACCCCCTAACACTAACAAGCGTGGTAGTAAAAACCCTAGAAACCACAGGTAAAGCCAAATGGGTTTAACACCTAGAGAGTAATGACATAACACAGACAGACAGACAGTAAGGCTTTGTAACAGGAAGATTTTGTGTAACAAATCACCTCAGTTTTTATGATAGCCACAGAGATACTACAGGAAAAAGATGGTTGGGTTGACTATGTCTATCTGAACTTGAAAAGGCTTTTGACAGTCCCACATAAGAGGCTATTCTAGAAACTGGAACATGCTAGAGGGGTGACAGGAAGACTTCTGATATGGATGAACAACTTTTAACTGATCACTGACAGATGAGATCGGTAATCAGAGAGAATGTATCTGACTGGAGGGGTATTACTAGCGGAGTACCACAGAGTTCAGTTCTTACACCAGTAATGTTCATTGTTAACATAAAACGATTTACCAGAAGGAACACAGAATTATATGAATATGTTTGCGGATGATGCCAAGATACAGTACCTGGGGCAGACCACACACAACTTACAAATTATGTGGAAAGGCACTAAAGAACTCTAATAAGGAACTAGACCTAGGGGGTAGTTTTGGATAGTAAACACTCACCAGAGGAACACACAAAGAACACTGAGAGAGGAGCATATGAGTTGCTTTCAAATTCAGACTTTTTTTAATTATATGGATGGTGAAATGCTAAAAGAAACTGTTCATGACTTTTGTGAGACCAAAACTGGAATATGCAGCAGTTTTACGGTGCCTATATCTCAAGAAGCACAAACTGGAAAAGGTGCAAAGGCTTGCTACAAAATGGCTTCCAGAACTGAAAAATAAGTGTTAGGAGGAGAGGCAAAAGGGCATTAAATGTCAAAACTAGAAGCTAGAAGAAAAAGAAGTGATTTGATCACCACTTACAAAAAACTAACAGGAATCAAGCAAATGGATAAAAGAGGAATTCCTGAAACCAGCAACTTCACGAACAAGAGGACACTGATTCAAGCTAAAGGTGCCAAACAAGCGAAACCAAGGTGCCAAAAAAAAATATTAAGTTTTCTTTTGCAAACAGAGTGGTAGACGGTTGGAACAAGTCAAGTCAAAAGGTGGGAGGCCAAAATCGTCAGTATTTTCAAAACATTATATGACAGAGTACTGGGAAGACGGGACACCACGAGCATAGCCTCTCATCCTGTAACTACACTTACGTAATTACACTTGGGTAAGTACACACACACACACACATACAGCATATGTAGGTATAGTACTGAATAATTATCCATATTGTTTGGTTAAGTTTACCTACACAGGGATGTAATAAAAAGATGAACCAGTGAGAAGCAATAATGTTTGAAAAATGTGTAAAGCTACAATTTTAATCTATATACTAAAACAATTCCTGCATTCTTGCCTATACCTCATATATTTAACATGAAAAATACCAACTATTGTACAGATATTTGATCAAAGTAACCATTACTCATCATACTTATTCTTACAAATTCTACTAAATGTTTTCCTTCCCCTAAAGCACTGTGCTCAGCATAAAATAAAAAGAACATAATTAATCATCAAAACAAACAGCAATCACAACTCACCAATTGCAAGAATCATTTCTGCTATGTAGAAACGGGCCATATCTTCTGGGAGTCTGTCCTCAAATTTACTAAGTAATGTGAGCAAGTCCCCTCCACAATAGTAATCCATCACCAGATACTAAAACAGATAACATTTGATAAAGACACTTTTGCATATAATTACTAAATGTTATACAATGGAAGCAAAGTCAGCCTCCATTGAACTAAACAAGAAAGTTAGCCTTCACTTAGCTTAACAGTCAGACTCCACTAATTTAAACAAGGTCAGCCTATACTGATCTAAACAATAAGAGCAGCATCCACAGATCTAAACAATAGGGTCAGCATCAACTGATCTAAACAAGGTAGTAGTAGTTACTTTGTTTGGCCATGTACCTCACTCTTTGACTTAGAGTGTGAACCCTTTTTTTGGACTCTTGAACCTTTCAGCCCACTCGTCGCAGTGGCCTTGTAGCTCTAGTTTCTTTGCCTTGCGGCATATTTCACACACAGCCTTCCGGCTATTTTCCTCGTGCTGTGCCTTGCGGCATTTGTGGGATATTCAAAAATATCTCGGACATATGCAGCATTTGACCATTCCCCAGGATGCCACCCACAACAGTTAACTGCTGTAACACCCAGTTTCCTAATCACTAATAGATGAACAGAGGGAATGGGTGTAAGGAGACTTGCCCATACATCTTGCCCAGCCTAGAAGGTAGTCAGCCTCCACTGATCTCAACAATATAATCAGCCGCCACTGATCTAAAACATGTCAGCCTCCACTGATCTAAACAATGTCAGTCGCCACTTATCTACATAATGTCAGCCTCCACTGATCTAAACAATGTCAGCCTCCACTGATCTACATAATGTCAGTCTCCACTGATCTACATAATGTCAGTCTCCACTGATCTACATAATGTCAGTCTCCACTGATCTAAACAATGTCAGCCTCCACTGATCTAAACAACAAGGTCAGCCTTCACTGATCTAAACAGTAAGGTAAGCTTCTGCTCATCTAAACAATAAAGTTAGCCTCCACTGAATCTAAACAATAAGGTCATCCTCCACTGAATCTAAACAATAAGGTCAGCCTTCACTGAATCTAAACAATAAGGTTAGTCCCACCGATCTAAACAATAAGGTCTGCAGTCTCCACCAAATAAGGTTAGCTGTGACCAAGATCTACAACCTAGATAATAATAATTTACAAGGTGGTGATGTATGATAACCACAATATTACTACTACCACACTCACTAAGGCAACTTTTCCCCAAATACTTCACTGTGATCTGACAGTACATATATAATACGATGCAACCAATATGGTTTTCATTATCTATATTTTGACTTACAAAGAGTGTTAACATAAATAAAGTGTAGAATTTCTCATCTTTTAAGTTGTATTCTCCCTGGCTTTTCTCAAGACACAACAGTATTTAAAGGGGAACAGCAAATTATTTATTGACATTGAAATTCAACAAAGGGCTTAACTTAAATAATTGTAAACAAAAACTTGCCTTTCCAACACATGTTTATAAGTCAACCACATGCTTTACAAAAGCCTTTTATCTGAAAATGTCTGTTATCCAATTTGGGTTTGTTCAGATAACTGGTGGGGCAAGTAGTCTGAATAAAAATGTGCAATGAAGATGGAACTAGTTTGTCCAGTGACTGTACAGTGCCACTTGAGCAGCATTCCTACACTAACGGATGGCTCAGAAACTTAAAACTGTCATGGCATTTGGTACATTACTGTACATGGTAAAAGGCAGTCTGCTGAGGTTACCTCATTACCATTAATCTCCACTTCAGTCAACTCAACACTATCATCATCCACCACCACCACCTATACTATATAAATATCAATACTCTATCAACTATAATCTTCAATTTAACAAGCGGATCAAAACTTCTCATATTGGCAAGTACAAATAAAGAAATGCTGTCGAATTTCTGCAACAAAATTGTCAATTTCTGGGGGAAGCCCCATCGGCTCCCAGAGCTCTCCAGGCTGAATGCATAAGTATAACTTTCTGGCACCTGCAGCTGCAACCCGTCCTCGACTCAAGTCCATTACATACAGCGGTCAACCCCACAAACGCATTCATAAATTTTAACATGCTGTTCATTCAAAACGGGAATTTTCTCAAGTATAAATTAATATTATAATATATTAACATATTGTGTATATATAGGCATAGAATAGGTTAGGTTAGGTGTTTAGGTTCTGTTGGCGATTATTTGTATTTGTAGTACGTGGGTGAAGCATTTATAGCGTTGTGATTCAAACAAAATTCGTCAGTGAAGCACTTGTTCCGGATATGTTCGAACATCAGCAGTTTTGAGTCGTGTGTAAACTGCTTTTCATTCATGAACAGGGGGTTTGGCGGGTGCGTGGAATCACTTTTGGATCTTTGTTTGGAGGACGGGCTGGACAGCTGAGTGGACAGCGCTTCGGATTCATAGTCCTGAAGTTCCAGGTTCGATCCCCGGTGTAGGCGGGGACAAATGGGCAAAAAAAGTTCCTTGCGCCCTGATGCCCCCTGTTACCTAGCAGTAAATAGGTACCTGGGAGTTAAACAGCTGCTATGGGCTGCTTCCTGGGGATATGTAACAAAAAGGAGGCCTGGTCGAGGATTGGGGTGCGAGGACGCTAAGCCCCTAAATCATCTCAAGATAAGATCAGTCAATGTGCACGGAGTTCTTGCCTACCGGGGACCATGAGCCAGAACCTGGGCCCCCTCAAGAGAGGCCCAAGGAGCAATGGCCTATAAAAAAAACATGTGATTGGGAGCATTCTATATCTGCCATCGACCGAATCTGTCACCCCGAAAGGTAGGTGTGCCCCAAAACAAACCCCTATTCTGGTGAAACTATTGCTACAGAAAGCCGAACGAGTGGACAGCACTCCCTAAACGAAAAATAGCAAACAAGCATGACATCATGTCGCTGCTCCCAACATGGGAGAGAATCAGTAATAGCGAGAATCCGTCTTGGCTACCATGGAGATTCAGAATGGAAACAACAGCTGATCAGCGAAATTGCAGAATCTGCGATGAGAGTGATGGACACCGCCTTGACCACTATCTACGTGAATGTGAACACCTGAGTGACATTAGAAATATGTGTAGAATAATAAACCCCACATTGTTTGAGTTAGGAAAACACTATTTGTCAAATATTGATACTGTTCTTAAAAGATTCCCCCATTTTGCACCCGCAAGATAACGTAAGCTTTTAAGGGTTGACAGATGTTAATCTTCTTGTTTGAGGAGCTGTTCACTTGAGATAGTTAAGCAAGTCCCAGCTGTATCTGGGTACAAGTGACAGGATGAACACCCTATCAGGTTTTTTCTTATTGGGGAGTGTTGTACATGCTGCTATGGCGGTATGTCTACTCACAGGATGAGTGGCGCTGCCCAATAAACTCACCCCTCGGGGCAAAATTTAAAAAAATTCATGTCGCTGCGCCAATGTCTATGCACCCGGCCCCCTCCCTGGGAGAGGGACGGGGAGAGCCCCAGATCCCCACACCGGCAATCCACCCTTCATTTCTCAGGATGATGTGCTCCTGGTGTGGTCTTTTGTCTCTGTCTCCAGCAATTTGTCTCAGATTCTGTGCCTTGTGGCATGAACTGTCTCTACTGGTGGTGTGTGAGCCAGGAGTAATATTCTTCGGTACTTGGGCTGCATGCACATAGGACCACCTTCCCTAGGTGCCCTCTAAGTACTATCCTTAGGGCTTGAGGCCACCTTCCACAAGTCACCTCGGGATCTAACCCCGCTGTGTCTTTTATTGCTCAGTATTTGGCCACACTTGGAGTCAACTGAGGTCTTGTTGCCTGTGTTTGCCTCTGGGTAGGGGTAGTTTTTGTCACCGGTCGGGGCGTGGGGTACTGCACAGCTAGTTTTCACCTCTTACAGGGGCTGGCTCTGTCCACCTGGGTACGCTGTCCTCTTGAGGGGGTTTGCTTTGTTTTTGTTTTTCTGCCGGGTGAGGTGGTCTGCCTTAGTGGTTGCCCCTTCTGTGTTGGGACATATATATCTATCATTATATCTATATTCTCAGTTTTTTTGTGGTTGGTGGTACCCCTTGCTAGACCCCCACAAGTAGACACGTACCAGGGGTTCAGCTATTAGCAGATTGTTCAGTAGTCTTGGGTGCCAGTTCGCAGTACACTGCCTGGGGCTTCCCTTAGGGTGTTAATAAGGCTAAGGGCCATAGAAAACCCTGCGGGGGCTCCGTGGTCCGCTGGATGTGACCCTATAGTCCCCTCTAGCTTCGTGCGAGTCAGAAGGCTGCTCTGTCCCCTTGTCTCTGGTGGACAATCACCGGTTGTGCCTCCGCCATGCTGCCTGGTTGATACCTGGTTGATGGGGTTCTGGGAGTTCTACTCCCCAAGCCCGGCCCGAGGCCAAGCTTGACTTGTGAGAGTTTGGTTCACTAGGCTGTTGCTTGCAGCGGCCCACAGGCCCACATACCCACCACAGCCCAGTTGGTCCGGCACTCGTTGGAGGAAACAATCTAGTTTCCTCTTGAAGATGTCCACTGTTGTTGTCCAAGGCTGCCTGTTGGGTTGGCGATTCTTTTGACCCGGAGTCGTGCAACGTTTGTTGCATGTACTTGCTCCATTTCACCCAAGCTACTGATCGTGATATGAGCAAGAAGGCGACAGCTGCGTTGCATGACAGGTTTAGGTTGCTGCAACGTGCTAGGTTAGTTGCTTTCCCGGATGCCCCAAGACTGTCCCGGATTTTGGGGTGGGAGTCGCTTTGGCTCTGGTTCCATCCTTCCCCCTTGTTCTTCCCTTTTTGTTGTCCATCCAGTTCCTCCCCCCCCCCCCTTGCTTCCAGCTCCGAAGCGTCTGAGGGTTTCAGAGACAGGGCAGGGTTTAGTTGGTGTTGAAACTCGGGCAGTCTCAGGGCAGTCCCCTTCCAGAGTGGTGGCAGAGGCATTTAAGCCTGGCCTTCCTGCCGGAGCTTCTGGGTCTGACCAGTGGGCCCCCTTAGTTCCTGCTTTTTCAGCTGCTCCTGCCTTTTCTTCAGAGGCAGGGAACTGCTCGGCCCCGGATCCTCGGGACGAGGTTCGTGAGGCAGGGGAGGGGTTGACTTGGGGGCCTTGGGTCCCGTTGGACCCCGCTTGGGTTTTTGTACCCTAAGAGCAGGGCATGGTGTTAAAGGGTGTGGGGTTCTCTTTTGCTCCCTCCTTGTACGAGTTGGATTTGGTGTTTACCCCCTTCCCAGACTCAGTTCCGTGGCCCCGACGGTTCTTCAGTCTTGTCTTTCCGGAGGTTTCCGGCTTCCCGGGTCCAGTCACAGTGGGTGCAGTAAGCCCTTGCAGCTTACCTCCTGCACGACCCGGATTTTGCTTTCGTGATGGATCCGCGTTCCTTCGTGTGTGGATCTTTATGTCCTTACTGGGTTTGTTACAAAGTTCCGAAGTCATCCTGGTTAGCAGACTGTCCTTTCTTCTCTTTGGAAGCGTGGCACACATTTTGTCGGTCCCGCACCCTTGAGTGGCGGGAGGCTCAGACGGTGTTGCAGGTTTTCCTGGAGGGAGGGGGGGGGGGGGGGGGGGGGGGCGCATTTGAGCATCTCAATGAGTGCTTGTTCGCCCCTACCCTTCCGCGGGATGTTGGTGTGATGCAGCTTCATATGCAGGTTCCTTCCTTTTCGGCTGCACTGGTCACGGAGGACTTGCGTATGCGGGGCCTGCTGGCTTCGGCCCTGCGTTCTTCTCCCTCCTTGAGCTGTCTTCAGACTGGCTTGCAGTGGATGTGGAGCCACTCGGGACCACCTCTGGGTCTGGTGAGTTGCCTTCAGCGGCACGTGCGTCGTCTGTGGTGTTGAAGCTGTTTGCGCCGCTCCTGTAGGATGCTGTTTTGCCGTTTTTTTTTGCATCTCAGCTCACATATCGGGAGGCAGTGCTAACTTCTTCCTTGGAATCAGCTTGGGCCCTGGCTCTTAAGAGTGTCTTCGCCCTTTTGTCCGTTGATGTTTGCAGAGTCTACGGTGATGCAGTATCTGCAGGCGACTTCAGCTAGTTGCCGTCCTGTATCTGAATTGTTGGTCCTCTGGGGGGCTCGTGGGGAGGCCATCCCAGCAGGGTCATACCTGCTTGATGGGGTTCTGGGAGTTGTTCTACTCCCCAAGCCCAGCCCATGGTGGTTGTCCACCAGAGACAAGGGGACAGAGCAACCTTCTGACTCACACGAAGCGAGAGGGAACTAAAGGGTCGTGCCAGGGCTCGAGGTTCTTTTTCTCGTGGTAGGCCAGTGTGTCAGGTTCGGTGCCGTCTGTTTCTGTTCAGCGTGGGGATCGCCCTTTGCGCCGTTTGGGTGCTTGTAAGGTGTGTTGGCCCTTTCGCGGTTCGTCCCATTGATAGGGCGATTGTAGCCAGTTGTCTCAGCTTCGTGTTGAGGAGCGAGGACTGAACGCCGCCCGGGTATGTCCCTGTTTTTCCTTGTCTTTGGGTAATTAGCTCCAGAGAGCCTTATTTTCCCTCCAGAAAATAAGCATCAAATGTAATGAAACGCTATTTTCTGGGTGAGTACCGGAGGCTCCCCAGCATCCCTCCCACCCTCTATCCAGTCAGCGGTGTTTTTGCTATTTTGACACCCAGCCTGAGAACTGAAGGGTGGATCACCGGTGTGGGGGTCTGGGGGCTCCCCTTTCCCCCTCCCGGGGATAGGGGGGAGGTTGCACAGACAGCAGCAAGGCAACACAATGTCATGCTCATTTGCTAATTTTCGTTTGGGGAGTTCTGTCCAATCGTTCGGCTTTCGGGAGCAATAGTTCCACCAGAATAGAGGTCTGTTTTGGGGGCGCCTACCTTTCTGGGTGCCAGATCCGGTCGATAGAAGACAGAATGCTCCCAAACCACACGGGGGTTTCTATAGGCCATTGCACCTCGTGCCTCTCTTGAGGGGGTTCTGGCTCATGGTCCCTGGTAGGCAAGAACTCCATGCACATTGACGCCAGAAAGTTATACATATCCATTCAGCCTGGATAGCTCCGGGGAGCCTCTGGGACTCACCCAGAGAATGGTGTTTCATGACATTCAACTCTGGTTTTCTTCCCCCTCACTTTTCAGGACGACGAACCAATTATCCGAACACAACAGGTTATCCATTCAGTCGCAGTCCCGAGGGGTTAGGAAAGCACGTGGCTGACTGTAGCATATTGATAATGATTAACATTTACAACATACAACATGCATTTAGAGAATGAGTTTCCTGCCAACAGGAGCATTTATGCTACATAAAATAATAAACATCTTAAAATTAAACATTTTGTATAATATAAATGAAAGAAAGATAACTCAAATACATATTATATATTACGTAAAAATTCTTCCTTCTAATAGATATACTGTATATTAAGATACAGTATATTATAAATCAAATAGATATACTGTATTATATATCCACTAGATATATTATATAACAATAGACTTATTATACCCAATAGATATATCATATATCCAATATGTTATATGATATATCCAATAGTTATATATCTAATAGATATATTGTATATCCAATAGATATACAATATATCTTATCGTACCTAGTAGCCACAACGCACTTCTCGGCCTACTAAGCAAGGCCCAATTTGCCTAATAGGCCAAGAGTTTTTTTTATTTTCAATAAATTGTTTCCTATTGGTTTATTTTAATTATTATTATTATATTGAATTAAGAATATAAATTATTGATTTAGTAATGTTAATTTAGATTAGGTTAAGATAGGTTAGGTTAGGTAGGGTTGGTTAGGTTCGGTCTTATATCTATGTTAGTTTTAGCTAAAATTTAAAAAAAAATTGCTCATACATAATGAAATGAATAGCTTTATCATTTCATAAGAAAAAAAATGAGAAAAATATTGAAATTTTGGAAAACTTGGCTTATTATGCAAATTGGGTCTTGCATAGTAGGCCAAGAACTGCGTTCTGGCTACTAGGTACAACACACATATATATATGTTGTACCTAGTATACATATATATATAACATACATATATATATATACATATATGAGTGTATATCACGAAAATAAACACGTGATTAAGAATGTGACAATGTCAGACCACGGAGGAAAAATGAAACAGGAATTTCCTTAAGTACTTTCGTATATTAAATACATCTTCAGAAGGTCAATACACCTTCTGAAGATGTATTTAATATACGAAAGTACTTAAGGAAATTCCTGTTTCATTTTTCCTCCGTGGTCTGACATTGTCATATACATATATATATATATATAGATACACAACATATATACAACATATATATATATATGTTGTACCTAGTAGCCAGAACGTCGTACTTGGCCTACTATACAAGTCCCGATTTGCCTAATAAGCCAAGTTTTCCATAATTTATATATTTTTCCTAATTTTTTCTTATGAAATGATAAATCTGTCCATTTCATTATGTATAAGTTAATTTGTTTAAATTTGAGTTAAAACTAACGTAGATATATGACCGAACCTAACCAACCCTACCTAACCTAAGCTATCTTAACATAACCTAAATTAACACATATCCTAAATTAAGTCAATAAATTATGGTCTTAAAATAATAACAATAATTAAAAAAAAACTATTTGGAAAAAAATTATTGAAAATAAAGAAAATCACTCGGCCTATTAGGCAAATCGTGCCTTGCATAGTAGGCCGAGAAGTGCATTCTGGCTACTAGGTACGACATATATATATACAGTACAGTATATATATATTACACACACACACACACAGTATATATTCAATAGATATGCTGTACTGTACATCCAAAAGATATTCAGATACAAATTATATTAATCATGGTACATACTCATTTAATAGTTAATTTATCAAGGTATTTAATATATTACTTTTTTTTTACACTTCCTATAATATTTCTTGCAAAATAATTTACAAACTCATATAACAGCTAAACTGAAACAGTTCTCTAAAGGGCCTACCGATATCCTAAGCTGCTGTCAGAGACATGAAATCAATAGCAATGTAAGTCTAGTGCACTACAAGTGCAAGGATGCACACGATGCATGTTTGTGCAGCTCGAGGTGCGACAACAATACTGCCATTATACTTACCAGATTACTATCATCTTGAAAGGCATAATGAAGGTTAGTTATCCAGCGTCTGTCCCCAAACACCAGCACGTCGCGCTCCTCGTGAAAACACGCCGTCTCGGCTCTAAACAAACAAAATATACACCATTACAATTTACTCATCTATATTTGGAGCAATAAAGATGTTTTATATAAACTTGTTTATAAATATGATACCCAGTTATTAAAAGAGAAAAGAATCTGCAATGAACACATGCTAATGAGTAAATATCTTCCCCTTAGGTGAAACCAAAGGGGAAGCCAAGGACTAGAAGGCAAAGTAAAATGTATAGTCTGCTGCCACACCACAGTTCTAAGTGAATTCCATTTACTCACTACTCTGACATAGAACAAATTGTTTCTAGTGTGTTCCATTTGGGCACTCTTTTCTACCTGTGTCCCCTGTACTCACCTACTTGTGCTTGCGGGGGTTGAGCTTTGGCTCCTTGGTCCCGCTTCTCAACTGTCAATTAACTGGTGTACAGATTCTTGAGCCTACTGGGCTCTATCATAACTACATTTGAAACTGTGTATGGAGTCAGCCTCCACCACACCACTGCTGTACAAGCACCACCTGTGTCCCCCTGTACAAGCACCACCTGTGTCCCCCTGTACAAGCACCACCTGTGTCCCCCTGTACAAGCACCACCTGTGTCCCCCTGTACAAGCACCACCTGTGTCCCCCTGTACAAGCACCACCTGTGTCCCCCCTGTACAAGCACCACTTGTGTCCCTCTTGTACAAGCACCACCTGTGTCCCCTTGTACAAGCACCACCTGTGTCCTCCCCTGTACAGGCACCACCTGTGTCCCCCTGTACAGGCACCACTTGTGTCCCCCTGTACAAGCACCACCGGTGTCCCCCTGTACAAGCACCACCTGTATCCCCCTGTACAAGCACCACCTTTGCCCCCCCCCCTGTACAAGCTCCACCTGTGTTCTCCTGTACAAGCACCACCTGTGTCCCCCTTGTACAAGCACCACCACCTGTGTCCCCCTGTACAAGCGGCAGGGGAGGGGAGGGGAGGGGGAACGAGCGGCAGGGGAGGGGAGGGGCACGAGCGGCCGGGGACGGGGGACGGAGCAGCAGGGGACGATGGGGGGGGAGAAGCAACAGGGGACGATAAGGTGGGGGGGGGAGCAGCAGGGGACGATGGGGTGGGGGAGGGAGTAGCAGGGGACGATGGGGTGGGGGGGGAGTTGCAGGGGACGATAGGGGGGGATAGGGGGGAATAGCAGGGGACGATGGGGGGGGAATAGCAGGGGACGATGGGGGGGGAGTAGCAGGGGACGATGGTGGTGGGGGGGGGAGTAGCAGGGGACGATGGGGGTGGGGGGGGGAGTAGCAGGGGACGATGGGGGTGGGGGGGAGTAGCAGGGGACGATGGGGGTGGGGGGGGAGTAGTAGGGGACGATGGGGGTGGGGGGGGGGAGTAGTAGGGGACGATGGGGGTGGGGGGGGAGTAGCAGGGGACGATGGGGGTGGGGGGGGAGTAGCAGGGGACGATGGGGGTGGGGGGGAGTAGCAGGGGACGATGGGGGTGGGGGGGGGGGGTAGCAGGGGACGATGGGGGTGGGGGGGGAGTAGCAGGGGACGATGGGGGTGGGGGGGAGTAGCAGGGGACGATGGGGGTGGGGGGGGAGTAGCAGGGGACGATGGGGGTGGGAGGGGAGTAGCAGGGGACGATGGGGGTGGGGGGGGGAGTAGCAGGGGACGATGGGGGTGGGGGGGGAGTAGCAGGGGACGATGGGGGTGGGGGGGGGGGAGTAGCAGGGGACGATGGGGGTGGGGGGGGGAGTAGCAGGGGACGATGGGGGTGGGGGGGAGTAGCAGGGGACGATGGGGGTGGGGGGGGGGGGGGAGTAGCAGGGGACGATGGGGGTGGGGGGGGGAGTAGCAGGGGACGATGGGGGTGGGGGGGGAGTAGCAGGGGACGATGGGGGTGGGGGGGAGTAGCAGGGGACGATGGGGGTGGGGGGGGGGGTAGCAGGGGACGATGGGGGTGGGGGGGAGTAGCAGGGGACGATGGGGGTGGGGGGGGAGTAGCAGGGGACGATGGGGGTGGGGGGGGGGAGTAGCAGGGGACGATGAGGGAGAGTAGCAGGGGACGATGGGGGTGGGGGGGGAGTAGCAGGGGACGATGGGGGAGAGTAGCAGGGGACGATGGGGGAGAGTAGCAGGGGACGATGGGGGAGAGTAGCAGGGGACGATGGGGGAGAGTAGCAGGGGACGATGGGGGAGAGTAGCAGGGGACGATAAGGGAGAGTAGCAGGGGATGATGGGGGAGAGTAGCAGGGGACGATGGGGGGGGGGAGCAGCAGAAGGACCACTGTGTCCGTGTGCCCACATGTGGGTCCAAGTCTCCCCCTCGACCTGCGTGCGTGTCTATTTTGAGAAAGAATGATTGGTACCAACCTCTTAAGCATCTCCCACTTGTTAAGGATCTTCATGGCGAAGACCCTGTCGGTGCCCTTGAGCTTGACCACACACACCTCGCCGAAGGCTCCGCGCCCTATCACCTTGATGACCTCGAAGTCGTCCCGGGTCAGACGGAGGGCCTTCACGCGCTGCACCACTGGTTTAACTGTCGACACAACAAATCAATTACAGTTTTACTAACAATTTGGCAAAAAGGATTTTCACTACTTAAACATAAACTTGCAGTTACACCAATGGGTAAATCAGATACATGCATTGGGGGGGGGGGAGAGCTTTTAATGGAGGATGTTTGACTAGCGAGAGCTTACCGCACCAACTTTGTCCAATGACGAATTTATTTTATCAATTTTTCAAACGTCAGACAGCAAGCAGCTGCCTGCTGTCTGTAGCAAGACATGTAGAGTGTAGTTTACTCTGCAGGTTTACTTCCGATATGTATAGTTTAGCTGGCATTGAGGAGCCTAAGAGCAAAGACATTACCCAGACAGCAACACTGTCGGACGGTAACTGTGCCAATAAGCCTGGGTGCCAACTTGCGGAATGTACAGAGAACATTAACTTTTAAAAATCAACACAACAAAATATGTAAATCATTAAGACTACTTGAAATCCCTCAAATGCCACTCCCTGAAAGACAATTTCACCCATACATTCAGCCCGTCCTCCAAAAATGGGGAGGTAAATATAACAGCTCCATAAGTGCAATTATGTGCTATGTATGACAGTCAGGAATTGTACTTATTTAAACTTAGTATTAAATCGTACTGTCAAATATATTGTGAATATTTGAGTTAACTTGAAAAGCTGAATAGAAAACCACGACCTAACCTAACCATCTTAGTTTTTGAAGATAAATATTTTATTGCTTCTTACAATTACTACCTAACCAATAGCTATATTGATATTACAGTTTTATAAAACAAAACTAAAATATTTTAATAATTTGTAAAGTAACTCAGGTTATTTTAAAATTTTGTATAAAATCTCTGTTGTTAAATAAAAGTGAAAAAGAAATTCTTGATATTTAAAACTTGTGTATAACGAACTGAACTTTAAAACTTCATTCCAAAATTCTGAGTGTCTTAACAGTGGGGGGAGTCCCTCCCCCACGCTGAGGGCTGGTGTAGTGGGGAAGGGACGCTGAGGGCCGGTGTAGTGGGGGAGGGACGCTGAGGGCCGGTGTAGTGGGGGAGGGACGCTGAGGGCAGGTGTAGTGGGGGAGGGACGCTGAGGGCTGGTGTAGTGGGGGAGGGACGCTGAGGGCAGGTGTAGTGGGGGAGGGACGCTGAGGGCCGGTGTAGTGGGGGAGGGACGCTGAGGGCTGGTGTAGTGGGGGAGGGACGCTGAGGGCTGGTGTAGTGGGGGAGGGACGCTGAGGGCAGGTGTAGTGGGGGAGGGACGCTGAGGGCCGGTGTAGTGGGGGAGGGACGCAGACAGAGAGGCCACGCGTCACCGTCCATGCTAGCCAACACGGGGGGGGGGGGAGGGTATAAGCAATGAATGGACACGTTCTCGGGTGCGGTGATAATGCTGTTTTTCCCCTTCCCCCGGCGAGGTGAGTCGCCTCCAGCGGTAACCACAACATTCCTCCCCCACACCGCCGCTCCCGCTCCTCCTCCTCCTCCTCCTCCTCTCCTCCCTTTCCTTCTTCCGCTATTCTTCCCATACCTCGCCCCTCCCCCTCCGTACCTCGCCCATCCCCCTCCCATATCTCGCCCATCCCCCTCCCATACCTCGCCCCTCCCACCCTCCCTGATTGAACACTCCTGCCTCACCTGCAAACGGTTTCGAGAGTTGTTCTACTCCCCAGACGGTGTGGGACCTAGCAACAACACGTTCTAGAAGGTAGCGGCCCGCACATATCCATTACATCCCGGTTCACCCCCATACTTCCACCAAAACTTTGTTCATTTACCTCTTGAAAACCTTTGTTGCAGTAATATTTCTTACTCTGGGTGAGAGAAGGATAACGAGCCGCGTACCTCTGAAGTTCATGCAATATTCTCTGAGCCTAAGACAACTATTCTTCACTATGTATATTCTACATTTGTTTCTGTATATTTAACTCCAGAATACTTTTTCGTGTGTTACCAGGCCTTTTACTACCTTTTTAGGTATATGTTATGTAATATACCTCTCCTCTTCTTTCTAAATTTTTAAATTTTTAAATTTTGCCCCGAGGGGCGAGTTTATTGGGCAGTGCCACTCATCTTGTGAGTGGACATACCGCCATAGCAGCATGTCCAACACTCCCCAATAGGAAGAAAACCCGCCTCTCTCCTCTCCTCTAGAAAGAAAAACCTCTCCTTTCTAGGAAGTACATTTTGAGTGCTTTGATATCATCCCAGTAATTTAGGTGCCTCTGTATTGCTATTATTTCAGAAATGTCTTCTGCTTTGAAAGGTGAAGAACTGAGCAGTACTGAAAGAGGGAAGACACAAATGATTTGAAAATAATGAGGAGTGTGGTGGCATCCCGGGAGTTAAAGGTTCTTATAGTCCATACTATCATTTTCCTGGCTAGAGAAATGGTTGGTATGGTTCTGTAAGCACAACCATACTGCTGAACCATACTGTATACTGTTTACCGTTTAAATTCTTATTTTTTTTCTAAATCAAATATCTGGAACATATTTGTTACCTGGAGTATACCTGGAGAGGGTTTCCAGAGTTCTACTCCCCAAACCCGGCCTCAGATGACTAGGTCCAACAGACTGTTGCTTGGAGCGGCCCGCAGGCTCGCATATCCACAACAGCCTGGTTGGTCCGGCACTTCTTACAAGAACTTGTTTGAGTGCCTCTTTAATCACTGTGTTGAAAATCCTATTTTTTTTATGTTTTTTTGACCAGACCTTTTTGACCTGGTCCAGGACGGACCGAAACGTCGTCGTCCCTTCACCTTCTAGTGTGTGGTCTGGTCAAATTACTTTAGCCACGTTATTATGACTCATCGCCTGCCTAATCGTTTTACGTTCTACAATGGAGGACCTTATTGATACACAGTACTTGTACTTCTTACACACAAGTAATTTTCATGTTGATGTTGCATTACCTACAGTGTATGACACGAAGCCCTGATATATATTCCATTTCTGATATAAGAGTATAAACAGTGGTGCCACGACATTACCCTCGGGTACACAGGTTTTTAGTGTGCTTCAACTTAATTTGGTTAGGTTAGGTTAGGTTAGGTTAGGTGAGGTGAGGTGAGGTGAGGTGAGGTGAGGTGAGGTGAGGTTAGGTTAGGTTAGGTTAGGTTAGGTTAGGTTAGGTTAGGTGAGGTTAGGTTAGGTTAGGTTAGGTTAGGTTTACATTTTGTATTGTGCTTTTCTCAGGAAATGTAATATCCAACGCCCCAATTTGCCGGTTATTGACTGGACCTCATGTCATGGGTTATCACTCCATGGTCACATATATTAAATGCCTTAGCAACGTCCGCGTATACAATATCTGCATTTAGAATTTCTGCCTAATGCTTCTGCGTTTTTGTTATAATGGGGAGGCCTGGTCAGAGACCGGGCCGTGGGGACATTGATATCCGAAATTAACGAAAGGAATTGGTCGATTAATTGGGAAAAGGCAGAGCTTACCGCTCTATATATTTGTTGACCTGGATTGTGAAGGTCGTTGTTCTCCAGAAAATTAGAGATTAGACTCCTAGTCAAGACTTTAATTAAGACTTTAAGACTTTCAAATACTTTAATTATGTGTAATAGTGTGACCGGTCCACCACAGCTCTTGGCCAATGGTTTCTTGTTTCCCATATAGCGGGGAAATAGAACTATAGTGGTGACATCTCGCTTGTCCTCCCTATTACACTCAAAGCTAATGGTACTACTGGGGCAGAGAGCAAGAGTATCTTGTCTATTTGTTTACCAAGTGAGCTTGGAAGGTAAGGTAAGGTTTACCAAGTGAGCTTGGAAGGTAAGGTTAGGTTTACCAAGTGAACTTGGAAGGTAAGGTTTACCAAGTGAGCTTGGAAGGTAAGGTTAGGTTTACCAAGTGAGCTTGGAAGGTAAGGTAAGGTTTACCAAGTGAGCTTGGAAGGTAAGGTTAGGTTTACCAAGTGAGCTTGGAAGGTAAGGTAAGGTTTACCAAGTGAGCTTGGAAGGTAAGGTAAGGTTTACCAAGTGAGCTTGGAAGGTAAGGTAAGGTTTACCAAGTGAGCTTGGAAGGTAAGGTTAGGTTTACCAAGTGAGCTTGGAAGGTAAGGTAAGGTTTACCAAGTGAGCTTGGAAGGTAAGGTAAGGTTTACCAAGTGAGCTTGGAAGGTAAGGTAAGGTTTACCAAGTGAGCTTGGAAGGTAAGGTAAGGTTTACCAAGTGAGCTTGGAAGGTAAGGTTAGGTTTACCAAGTGAGCTTGGAAGGTAAGGTAAGGTTTACCAAGTGAGCTTGGAAGGTAAGGTAAGGTTTACCAAGTGAGCTTGGAAGGTAAGGTAAGGTTTACCAAGTGAGCTTGGAAGGTAAGGTAAGGTTTACCAAGTGAGCTTGGAAGGTAAGGTAAGGTTTACCAAGTGAGCTTGGAAGGTAAGGTTAGGTTTACCAAGTGAGCTTGGAAGGTAAGGTAAGGTTTACCAAGTGAGCTTGGAAGGTAAGGTAAGGTTTACCAAGTGAGCTTGGAAGGTAAGGTAAGGTTTACCAAGTGAGCTTGGAAGGTAAGGTTAGGTTTACCAAGTGAGCTTGGAAGGTAAGGTTAGGTTTACCAAGTGAGCTTGGAAGGTAAGGTAAGGTTTACCAAGTGAGCTTGGAAGGTAACGTAAGGTTTACCAAGTGAGCTTGGAAGGTAAGGTAAGGTTTACCAAGTGAGCTTGGAAGGTAAGGTAAGGTTTACCAAGTGAGCTTGGAAGGTAAGGTAAGGTTTACCAAGTGAGCTTGGAAGGTAAGGTTAGGTTTACCAAGTGAGCTTGGAAGGTAAGATAAGGTTTACCAAGTGAGCTTGGAAGGTAAGGTAAGGTTTACCAAGTGAGCTTGGAAGGTAAGGTAAGGTTTACCAAGTGAGCTTGGAAGGTAAGGTAAGGTTTACCAAGTGAGCTTGGAAGGTAAGGTTAGGTTTACCAAGTGAGCTTGGAAGGTAAGGTAAGGTTTACCAAGTGAGCTTGGAAGGTAAGGTTAGGTTTACCAAGTGAGCTTGGAAGGTAAGGTAAGG